ATACCTGCCCCCAGAGTGCAGAAGCTCCATTCTGGAAGCTTCTCCTTTTGCCAGTCTGAAGTCTCCTGTGTATAAGACAGTTCCATTTCTGCCCTGAAATAAAAACCTGAAAAATAAATGTATCTCAGTGACTTCCAAATCACAAAGTCCTAAGAATGGTAAAATGGCAGCAAAGGTCTCCTGCCAAACACAACCCCTACAATGTAGTATTAGAATTTGGGGGTGCTAAGTCCAAGTAACTGCCACCTTTCCCCATGAGTAGCAAAAACAAATATAATAAAAATAAGATAAACAACAAGATGGTAACATTACTGAATCTGTACCAGGAGTGGCCTGGAATATTCTAGTGCTTCCTAATATACACTCAAATCATTTCATTCCAGGCAGAGAAAACCCTGTGTGATAAGACAGTGCAGAGCCACAGGAGAAATACCAGTTAAAGGTATGTGTGCTAAGAAAGCCACAGTTCATGGGTCTTCATCTGAGTTTCCCAAGCTCGATTCTGAAGTAAAGATTAAAGCCAGAAAAAGAAAATCTATTTCTGTACACATACTACCTAAAACGCTGTCTCTACAAATATAATGCATATTTATGTATAGAGAAGTGGAAACAGATGGCCCCCCTTACATAACTGATCCTGGGCAGTGACCAGCCGGTAAGAGAGTCACGACAACCTCTTCCTTCTAAAAAGAAAAGAAAGAGAACAATAGCAACAGAAGTTCCCGTGAGGAGCTGGCTAAATTCATAAAGTGTCGTTCAAGGGCGTACCTCTTCCCAGTCTCCCACTGCTCAAACCCTGGAAGAAGTGGACTTGTCCACTCCTTTTTCCAAACAGAGCTATGACAGGACCCAGCTCCTTTTGTAGGTACACACTCAGGAGAATGTCCACACGAAAAAATTTGTTCATGGACATTCACTGCATGATTACAGCAGCCCTCAAGTGGAAACGCTTCAAAATGCCTAGATAAGAGCGCAGGTTTGCCCACACCATTTGGCCATAAAGATAAGGTTCTATATGTGCATGCCATTTACATACAGGGATGGCTCTTGGAATACACTCAGAGAAAGAAGTCCCATGATGTGTAATAATTCCACAGATAGGCAAGTCCAAAAAACAGTAGCTGAGAGGGAGCTGTGACTGAAGGGACGGGCGTGCTGTAACAGGCACAGGGTTTCTGAGCGCTGAAACTATCCCAAAATTGACTATGGCGGTGACAGCTCTGTGAATACATTAGAGCTACCAGGTCTTCAAGTGAGGGACTTGTGTGTGTCGATGAATACTGCAATAATGCTATTATGAAAAGAAAAAAGGAGTGGATGCAGCCCAGTCCCAGCCCATCACAATGTACGCGCCATTGTCCCTTTAGGACAGAGCCTGCTGGGCGCCACTGACTCCAGCTCTCAATAGGAGGGGCAGAACTCTGTCTGCAATGGTTCACTGCTCAGTAATAATTCCTCACCCACTTCTCACAGCACTCATCCTGCAGGCCCCTTTCAACGGGGGCTTCCCAGCTGGGGCTGGACACACACTGTACAAAAGCCAGGTCACAGGACGAGACATGTAAGCAGCGGTTCAGCACGACCCCAACAAAAGCCTGCCCTGCCGCTCAGGGCTGGGCTCGGAGGCAGCATCTGCAGCTGACAAGGCCCTGATAACACCCCTCCCAAGCCACACCTGCAAAGATTCAGGCCTGCTTTCCTCCTTCTCCTTCCCTCCTTGTCTCCACCGCCACCCAAACCTGGCTCTACCAGGATGAAACTGATGAAGAATACGTCTGATCTAAGAAAAACCATCTAAAAGGTTATGTCTCTTCTGATAACAGTCACACACACAGGTCACCCTCAGCGTTCCACACTGTGAAGCCACAGACTATGGAGCAAATGCTAACTCAGTTGCCAGAAAAGAGTAAAATCCCCTTGGCCCTTGGTGTCATTCAGATGGGTTTTTGCTTTGTTTTAAGGTAGGCCTACAGTCTTATTTACTATTAAACAATACATTCATAAAGTCTTAGCTCTAAATTTAAGGTTGAAAAAAATTTTATCCAGTTGGGCAGAGACTTTATTTGGAATTAAGAAAATGATTCAAAAAGAAGACAGCCTTTATACTTGAGTTTGCTTAAAAAAAAATATTAACTAATCACTATTTTATATTCCAGGTACAAGAAACAATAAATATGACAACAACATCGTATAGTATTAACGAATAACATTCTCATCATGAACAGGTAAAACTAACTAAATAAATAAGTTGGCAAAAATTTTAAAAAATAATTACACGATGTTTAATCCTTCTAAAGTTGGAAATAATTTTAACATTCTATAACAGAATGTCTCCAACCTCTGAAACTTGGGGGTTGAAATGGTGACCCCTGGAAATTTAATTAAGAACCTTTTGACTGGTGATTAGTTCTTAAAGTTAAGCACCCCCAAAACAGATTAATGCCTTTAAAAAAGAACTTT